CCCGCTATCGGTTTGGAGACTGAAGAAAGTTGACTTCCAATACCTCCAGGACAAGGCAGCTGGAAAATTGGTCACCTGGGATGGGCAGAACATCACCACCATTGGGCGCACGGCCCTTGTTCACTCTGTCATCACCTCTCAGGCTGTGTACTCCATCACACCACTCATTGTCCCGCAGGGTTCCCTTGACAACCTCAACAAGATTGAGCTAGCTTTTCTTTGGTCCGGCTCTGACAAGACCACCGGTGCCAAATGTAAAGTCAACTGGGACATGGTCTGCCGCCCCACCAGCTATGGGGGTTTGGGTGTTCTTAACACCGTCAATTTTGCTCGTGCTTTGAGGCTCAGATGGCTTTGGTTTGAATGGAAAGAGCCGTCCAAGCTCTGGGTCGGCCTGGGCAACCCTTGCACTGAGGAGGACCGTGATTTTTCTACGCCTCCACTTCCATCATCGTGGGCAATGGGGCCAAAACGCCTTTTTAGGACTCCCCCTGGCTGCTTGGCCGCAAGCCGAAGGACATTGCACCTCTCGTCTTTGAGGCCTCGAGGAGAAAGAACTGGAAGGTGCGAGAGGCTATTACAGAGAATGCTTGGATGCTTACGATCAGACGAGACATCACTATCACTAGCCAGCATGTGCGGGAATTTTTCACTCTTTGGATGCTCATCCATGACATACACCTCGACATCCACTCTGAGGATGACATCATTTGGAAGCACTCTTTGGATGGCTCATATTCGGCGTCCACTGCATACAAGGCACAATTTCTGGGTTTGACGCTTTCCCCCATGGACTCCATGGTCTGGAAAATGTGGGCGCCCTCTAAGGTCAAATTCTTCTCCTGGCTGGCCTTACAAGATCGGATTTGGACCGCCGACAGGCTAGAGCGACATGGCTGGGACAACTACGGTCTTTGCCCGCTCTGTAAGCAGGTGCAGGAGTCGGGCGCCCACCTATTCGCCAAATGCCGCTTCACCTTAAGGCTTTGGCAGATGCTCATTGACAAGTATGGGCTTGCGCATCTGGACCCTTCTGACTGGCACCTTGAGGATTCCCTCCTCTCTTGGTGGGACAAACGCACCAATTCGAGCATTCCGGATCGTCGAGCCATGGCCTCCCTTACCATGCTCGTATCCTGGACAATTTGGAATGAAAGGAACGCTAGAGTCTTCCGCCACAAAGAGACGCCACCGCCAATCCTTCTCAAGCTTATTATAGATGAGGCCAACCTATGGGTTACTACAAGGGCTAAACAATTAGGGAAAATTGTATTGTGCGAGTAATTGTCATGCCGTACTTCGGCCTTGTGTAACTCTACAAAACTCTATTCTCCTCTACTTTAATAGATGAGGCAAATCTTTTGCCTCCGTTTCGAAAAAAAATTGAGAAAGTCTATCTCATTATCCACACACACCCTAACTATTTACCTTTTCTCATCGGAGAGGTTTAGGGTTGCTTATCAAGGAGAGATAGAGCCACTAACATGTAGGTCCAAGAGTGGGAACCACCAGTGAAGAAGACTCGCATGGGCAACGAGAATAAGATTCAAAATGTGTAATTGGCTCTGTCCAATCAATGGAGTTAAAAAGAAGGCACTCAAACCTCTCTATCAGTTACTGTTGTATGTAATTTCACTAGTATTTGTGATGTGGTGTTCACAGCAAAAGGAAGAGTAAGAAGAAATCAGTGAAAGATGGCCGATTGGCAATAGAAGAAGTTGCTGCTGCTCACTGTGGCAACACTGCAAGCCATCCCAGTGCCTGTGACTAGAAGGTAAAAAAATATAAATCGCCACCATTTTACTCCATTGAATCTTATTTTTAATCTTCCTAAGTAATCCAAGTGTTTATATTTGCAGGCAAATGGCTTTGGCAATTCAAGAAGGGCAAAGTATCCGGTGAAAACTGAAATTCAGGGCAAATCAGAAAGCTTCCACCGTGGCCCATTAGATGGATATACTGGACGGCAGAGATCAAAAGTGGAATTACCAGCAAGCCACTTAAAATTCTGTTCACATACCCCCTTATCTTAGCATGGGCGACTCGGCGCCCGCAGCAGCTGCTCCCGACGTGACGGTGATTTGGTGGCCGCGACGGAGGTTCAGCGGCCGTCGTGCTGCTGTCATGCGACGGTGATTCGCGGTCGGGGTGCTGCTCATCGCACCTGTAGTCTGAATTTTGAAGCTCCGTCTGAATGTCGCAACTTTTTTCTGCTTTGAAGCTTGAGGCAGGCAACCGAAGCTTTGATTTTGTAGTCTCATTTCGTTTCTCATGCAGGCAGCCTGTAATCTTTGGATCTATGATCCTGAGAAACATTTGAAATGTTATCAAGCAAATCAGTGCATGGATTTTTGTATTCTCTTTATCTTGACTCGGCGATGTGATTCAGTTGCATAAATCCGACGAGCTGAGCTATTTCCCTCTACTGAAAGTGATGTGTCACGGGGCATGTTTGCTTGTATACTTTTGCTGGGCTGATTTTTTTTACATCCTTGATTGGACAGAATAGTACAGTAGGTATTTGGAAGCTCTGTCCAACATTATGTTTGCCGAGCTGGACTAGTGAGCTCTTTTCTTTTCCTCTGAAGAAGTCACAGCCACTCAATGTGAATCATCTTGTATCCTTGAAAGCTGCCTCTGTTGTACAGAATCTAGGCAAAGCTTTGTTCTACTCCCTCCGTTCCTAAATATTTGTCTTTTAGGGATTTCAAATGGTATATAGACATATTTTAAAGTATAGATTCATTTATTTTGCTCCGTATGTAGTCAGTTGTTGAAATCTCTAGAAAAACAAATATTTAAAAACTAGAAAGACAAATATTTAGGAACGGAGGGAGTAGTACTGAACATGCAATTCTGAAAAATGTTACAGCGAGACCTTGCTCTTCGTGAGTTCACACGGCCACCCTCGCTAGGTTCTAGAGCCGCATTATATGCATTATTATTTTTAATTTATTTGTTGGATTTTTTCTCTCCTAATATTTGGTTTCATTCAGGGAAAACTTGTGAAGGAGCAGCTACATAAAGCTCGGCTTGGAATGTGTTGTATCACACCACCAGAAACTAAATCAATGCTTCCTTATGTCCACATAAGCGCCTGCTTAATTGAGTATTTCCTCCGTCTGGAAAAGCTTGTCCCTTAAATGGATGTATCTAGTACCAAGATACATCTACTTGAAAGACAAGTTTGAGACAAACTTTTTCGAACGGAAGAAGTACCAGGTATCCTGTAGGAGGCAAATATTGTGTAGCACGAAGCTTCTTTCCCTCTGTTGCACAAACATGTGAATCTTGAAGAAAGAATTCCTTATTTAATACTATCTTAAATTTCGTTTCCTTATTTGACACTGAAAAACTTTTTCTTCCTTATTTAACAGCGAGTCTAAATTTTATGCCTTTTATAACACTTTTGTCCATTTTAAGTCTAAATAAGACCGGAAAAGACTCTTTTGTCCTTCATGTGATATGTGTGTGCGTGGGGCAGTAGCACACACGCAACATCAGTGCGAGGGAGTAGCACACACATAGCAACACACACGCATGTGCACGCACACAACAACACACACGCACGCAGGGGCGAAGCCAGCAATGTGGCAAGATTTGGTGCCCGCCATACCTAATATTTGGTGCACATACTTAGTTGTATGATATACTAGCTAGCATACTCCTGTATAGACGTGTTTGGTTTTAGCTTAGCCGTGCGTCCGTGCCGGCCCTGCTGGTCTGATTGCTGATAGATAATGGATAATGGCTAATGGGCCGTGCTCCTTGGTCAGCATGTGCCTTCAGTGCACTCCACACGTTTCTCCTTTAAAAAGAGTACACGCAGTTTGATCGTATTTGTTGAACACAAAGTTATATGTACTATTCTAGCGAGCTCTTGCACAGTTATATTATATATGATTTTGCCCTTCATAAACTCTGCCACACATGAAAAATATTTCTGTCCTCATCACTGCACGCTCGTATCACACACACACGCACGCAGCACGGATGCACACAACACATATGCACGCAACAGCATGCGCGTGCGCACACACACATGCACGTACACACCCACTAGCAAATACACATGTACACATGCAGTAGCAAACACACACGCACACACACAGACACTCAGCAGTAGCACGCACGTACGCGCGCGCACACGCAACAGCACACACACGCGCACACAAACATACCACTTGAGGGCAAAGGGGTCTTTTCAAGTGTCATTTTAGCTCAAAATGAAGGCATAAAATTTAAACTCGTTGTTAGATAGGAAAGAAATTATTTCTGGATGTCAAATAGGGCATAAAATTTAGGCACGGTGTTAAATAAGGAATTCTCTCAATCTTGAATGTCCTAGGAAGCCAATATGGCGGCAGATTTGTTGGCTAGTAAGCCGGAGGACTCACGAAGGGTTCTCTGCCAGTCCGATGTTTTATCAGACGATGTACTTCCTCCGTAAACTAATATAAGAGCATTTAGATTACTATTTTAGTGATCTAAACGCTCTTATATTAATTTACAGAGGGAGTAACCCTGTTTACACATGAATATAACAAACCGCCACGATGGCATTTCCCTAGAAAGAAAAAAACACATGTGAATTTTTCTGAGTAGAGGGCAAACGTGCAGAGATTCAGAAACAACTTCAGACGCCAGATACTGCAGAAATCGAGCCGTTGCCACTCTACCTACTTTTCTCCCGTCGCAACATTCGAAAAAAAAAAAATTTCTCCCGTCAGACGGCGGAGCCGAGCATGTCCCGCGCCTTTCCTCGCCGGAGGCGCCGGCGGCTGCTCCTCCGTCCCTCGCTCCACGCCGTCTTTTCCCGCCTCCATGGCGCCTTCGCAAACCGCGCCGATCAGTATCCACGAGCCCCCGCCCGCCGCGACCTCCACACCGCCGATGACCAGGTCCGCGCGGTGCTCGACGAAAGGCCGCGCCGGGACGCCGTGGCCTACGCCGCCACGATCGGCCTCCACCTGAGGTCCCGCGACCTCCCGCGCGCGCAGGCGCCCGCGTCCGCCCGCGGCCCCCATCCGGACACCGTCACGCTCGACGGGCACCTCAAGGCCGGCCGCGTCGACCGCGCCCGCAGGCTGTTTGACGGAATGGCGGTCAAGAGCGTGGCGGCGTGGACCTCCATGGTATCCGGGTACTGCCGCGCCGGGCGTGTCGACGAGGCGCGCAAGCTGTTCGACGCGATGCCGGCCCGCAACGTCGTCTCCTGGACGGCGATGGCGCAGGGGTACGTGGGCAGCGGCATGCTGAGGGAGGCGAGGGAGCTGTTCGACCAGATGCCGGAGAGGAACGTGGTCACCTGGACGGTCATGGTGAAGGCCTACGCCGACCATAGCGACTTCCAGGAGGCCATGGAGCTGTTCGACAGGATGCCCCAGAGGAACCCGTATTCTTGGAGCGCCATGATCTCCGGTTTCCTCCGTGCTGGGAAAGTGGACGAGGCGGTCCGGCTGTTCGAGAGGATGCCGGGTAGGAATGTGGTTTCTTGGACCACGATGGTCACTGGCTTAGCGCAGAACGGTCGCGTTTCGATGGCGAGAGAGTTCTTCGACAGAATGCCGAGAAACAAGGACATTGCGGCATGGAATGCGATGGTCACTGCTTATGCCAACGACGGCCAGATGAATGAGGCTCAGAGTTTGTTTGATTCAATGCCCGCAAAGAACCTGGTGAGCTGGAATGCCCTGATCCATGGCTATGCCAAGGACGAGCGTAAGGACGAAATCATTGGTTTATTTCTTCTCATGCTCCGGTCAGCAGTATCTCCTGACATCACCACATTGATCAGTGTCTTGGTTACATCCAATAGCACAATTGAAGTTGGGCAAATCCATGGCTTCGTTACCACACGAGGTCTCCTGTCAGACACCTCCTTAGGAAACGCTCTGCTCACCATGTACTCAAGGAGCGGCGACCTGCGCTCTGCCTGGCAAGCTTTCAAGATGTTACAAGAGAAGGATGCCATCACATGGACATCGATGATGCAAGCCTTCGCCAACCATGGCTGTGCCTCCTACGCGCTGCAGGCCTTTGCTCAGATGCTGCGAAATGGATACAAGCCCAGCTCGACCACCTTCACGGCAGTGCTGTCAGCCTGCAGCCATGCCGGTCTTGTCGACAAAGGCCGGGCAATCTTCGCATCAATTTCCTGCTACGGGCTCGAAGCGACAATCGAGCACCACACCTGCCTCGTTGACATCCTCGGCCGTGCAGGGCATGTGAGGGAAGCAATGAAGATCGTTGCCACCATGCCATTGGATATGCACGACGACGCTGTCCTGAGGACGCTGCTGGGGGCCTGCATGATGCATAATGAGGTGGATGCAGCAAGGGAAGTGGGGGAGGCTCTTGCCAAGTCTGACGGCCCCTCTGGTTCAGATTCAGATGGCTACTACAAGGTTCTGGCCAATGTGTTTGGGTCAGGTAGGAGGTGGGAGGAGATGGCAGGTGTGTGGAAGGCTATGAAGGGGAGCAACGTGAGGAGGACGCCCGGGGTTAGCCAGATCGTGGTGGATGCGAGGACCCACATGTTCTTCTCCAGGGATCAGGGGCATCCACAGTGTGCAGAGATATATGAGATGCTGGACGACACGCTTGTCCCCCAGATGATGAAGAAGGATCGACTGACTGAAACAGTGTGAGCTGTCGATGCAGTTGCAAGCTTGCACCAGCTGATCAATCTCTTTGAATTTTTTCCAGGGTGATCGATCTCTTTGATGAACAAGCTTATTTTATTCCACGAACAATGCTTTGACACACAATACAGATATATGAGATGCTGGACGACACGCTTGTCCCTCCGGTGAAGGTTAATGTGATAAAATACCACATTCTAATTTCCTGACAGAAAAGAGGAATGCCAACCTAGAGCCCTGTGTGCACCAAACTCCTGAACTCCTGAACCCCAGGAAATCTGGAGCTGTGTTTCAGAATGTATTGGTGCTGATATATACACCCATCAGTGTCCTCTTCTTGTCCATTTGGGAGGCATGTTTGGTGCTGTCAATGCTCTTGGTGGAGGTGCTGAAGATCTCACTGGGATTTGTTGGCAATCAGTTGATTCAGAGATAAGGCATGAGAAGGTCTCAAAAAATGGCATTCAAACCTGTTTTTTCAGATACTGTTCTATACTTGTATGTAAATTTACTAACATTTGTGATCTGTTGTTCACGGGAAGAAAGGAGGAGCAAGAAGACATCTCTGAAAGATGGTCGATTGGCTAGACGAACCTGCATGTGTAGAAGCTGCTGCTGCTGTTCATTACCGCAAGTGCGGCAACATTGAAAGCCAGCCCAGGGCCTGTGACTAGAAGGTAATTTTTACCTTTCTGCTCTACTAAATCTTACTTTTAATCTTCCTAAGAAATACAAGTGTTTATATATGCAGGCAACTAGCTGCAGCATCTCAGAGCCAGGCAGCTGTTTCTCTACAAAGAAATGTAAAGAAAGTGGTGAAAAAGATGGCCCCAAAGAAGATGTTGCCGTTGGGCTGAAGTGTTGTTACATAATCTGCGAAGCACAGAACCAGGTGAGTTTATTATGTAACTAGTCACTCACTTTATGCTTTAGTTAAATGTGGATCTGGATTGTTGAACTATATGATGATGATTATGTGCTGTTTGCTGTCATAGAAAACTACAGTAGTAGTCATCATGTGTGTTCTAGTGATGCTTTTGCTGCAATTTCCTGTCGACTTCGTGCTATTTGGTGCCCCGAAATGAGGCAAGGTTATGCCAATTTCTTGCAGCCAAAATAGCAATGGGATCACTAGTACTAGCAATTAAGGTGTGATAATAACATCAGGGTGGTAATTGGTAAATAACATGTACTGTAGTACTAGGAATTATTCAGCACGAGCCGATGAACATCTTGAATGCCCCCCTTTGCTTGCTGCTGCCCTGGCTAGTTCTCCTCCGACTCGTCGTCGGTGACCTCCTCTTCGTCCTCGGCGTAGCCCCTGGCCACGTACTGGTTGACGAGGGCCCGCTGGTAGGCCGCGACCTTGTCGGCTCGATCCATGGCTGTGGCGTAGAACTCGCGGTAGTACCTGGGACGCTTGGCCAGCTCGTCGTCGGGGATGGGCATGGGCCTGTAGGGGCTCGCCATCATTTGCTTGATGAGCGCCTGCGGTAGCCTCGTCTTCACCATCTTCTTCCTTTTCTTCTTCCCGGCTCCGGCCGGCTCCGTCGCGGGCTTCGTGCCCGGTGAAAGATCCGTGGCCGCCATCGCCTCCATCATCTCCTTTTTCCTCCTCAGGATCTCTCCCCCCTCCGACGCCTCCCTCTCGAGGAGAGCGCGGTCACCACCGGCCTCCGGCGCGCTCGCGTGCTCCCGCCTGCTGTTGCGGCGGCGACGCCCCCCCATCGAGCGAGCCGGAACGGAAGCAACGTGACGGTTCGCCAAAACAGGACCCGTCGCTGTCTTGTTTTTGAATAAAAAACGCTTCTTTCGCTCTCGTCTCCCGATTCGATTCCCCCACAAGGCCGCCGCAATCTTGTCATCTTCCCCGTCGCCTCCAAAACTTTGACTTCTTTCTCCGCTCCCCGCTTGGACTCATCTGACGACTGCCCTGCTCCTAATCCCATGGCGGCGGTGGCGGGCGAGCCGGAGGTGATCCGGGACAAGGCGGCGATGCGGGCGTGGTCGCGGCGGCAACGCGCCGAGGGCAAGACGGTGGTGCTCGTGCCCACCATGGGCTTCCTGCACGAGGGCCACCTCTCGCTCGTCTCCGCCGCGGCGGCCGTGCCCGGCCCCGTCGCCGTCGTCGTCTCCATCTACGTCAACCCCAGCCAGTTCGCCCCCACCGAGGACCTCGCCACCTACCCCTCCGACCTCGCCGGCGACCTCCGCAAGCTCGCCTCCACCGGCGCCGTCCACGCCGTCTTCAACCCCCCAGACCTGTACTACCGCGGCGCCGCTGTATCTGGCCGCCCCGCCGAGGCTCCGGGCGGCGCTGCGGCCTCTTCCTGCCTGGAGGCGGGCGGGGACGGGCACGAGACGTGGATCCGGGTGGAGCGGCTGGAGAAGGGGCTGTGTGGGGCCAGCCGGCCAGTGTTCTTCCGTGGGGTGGCCACCGTCGTCGCCAAGCTGTTCAACGTCGTCGAGCCTGACGTCGCCATGTTCGGGAAGAAGGATTATCAGCAATGGCGTCTCATCTGCCGAATGGTGAGTAACAGAATTTGACAATTACTTGGGGAGTTACAGATCCCCTAGATGGACAGTTTTGATAACCTGATAAGTACATTCTTCTGGGCAGTGCATACAAATGTTTTTTTCGGGAGCAGTTTTGCCTCCATTTCAGATGCTCTGACGGATACCATGTCTGCTTCTGTTTTGATGCTTCGGGCCCTCGGTTACATTAATTCTGTTAGCTCAGAGTATTTTCAGTTGCTTCAGTTACAGAGATATGCTCATGCTGTTTTCAGGTTCGCGACCTTGATTTTGCCGTAGAGATAATAGGATCAGAAATAGTGCGAGAAGCAGATGGTCTTGCCATGAGCTCTCGCAACGTCCGCCTATCGCCTGAGGAAAGGGAGAAGGTTCGTCTTCTGCACAAACTGACACTGTTTTTGCACACTTGTATTCTGACTTTTGAAGGGTGCGTTTACAAAAGACAGCAAAATTTTAAATCGAAAGTGCTCTGCACACGATTGACTGCTGGACGATTTGTGCCTGACGGGAGCAGGAGCCACACAGATTAAAAACCCCAGCTGATCCTACGATGTACCTGACTTGTCGTCTGTGGATCGTGCGTCCATACGTCGTGTGTATAGCAGTGCTCATTTTAAATTTCTCACAATGCCTTATCATTTATGATTGTCTTTGTATTATTATTGTTTTGGGTAGTCCACAAAGACAAGATTAAGAAGCTGATACATGTCATGGAACAAACAATTATGATACTCCTACATATGATGAAATATAATCTGTCTTTGATAATTGTTTTTTTTGTAGGCATTATCCATTAGTAGATCACTGGTAAATGCTAGAACTGCTGCGTTGAATAATAGCAACAGTGCTAGCGAACATATAAAGGATCAGATAGTGCAGACGCTGACTGAAGCTGGCGGTCGGGTTGATTATGTTGAGGTAATATTGAAACCTTTTTTATATTCAAGTGTCCTTAGTGTTTTCTGTAAAGCAATTTATCTAGTGATTGAGTTCTGAAATAGACATTATCATAGTGTCAAAAAACGCCTTACATTTTGAGACAGAGGGAGTAGCCTACTGTGATTCACTTACTTTCCTGTTGTAATACTGATGCTGGTTGTGTCCTAGAGAACCTTTGAAATCTCCATGATGTTAGCTTTAGTTTGCATTTTGCAGCATCAGAGATCCTAATATCAGCATAATAATTTATACATTTCTTCTGGAACAATGTACCACTGTTTAGATAAACTGACGAGTTTTGGTTATTTTGAAAACAAATAATGCCATACTGAGCATCTCAAGTACTCCTAACTTTGTATGGTCCCTTTTTGTTGTAACACTGGTGCTGGTTGTTTCCTGGAGAACCTTTGAAATCAATATGGTATACTTGTATAATTTGTAGGACCAGACAGCCCAATTCAGCATAATTAGCTATTTTATTTCTTAGAACAGCATACTGCTGATTTTGATAAAAAGAATAAAACCACGTGGGGCATCTCAGCTTCTCAAGCAACATGTTTATACTGATCATAATAAACTTTTGATTTATATTGAATAAATCTGTGATGCCAACGCAGATTGTGGAGCAGGAAAGTTTGGTACCTGTGGAGACGATCGACCGCCCTGTTGTCATTTGTGTTGCCGCATGGTTTGGAAAGGTTAGATTGATCGACAATATCGAAATTCATATGCAATCCTGAGGATTTTGCTGTCGCCTTGTATACGAATCTCATGAAGTATCACCAATCTGTATTTCTGTCAAAATAAGAATGATGTTGTACAATGTAAGTCTGTTACAACCACATACAGAGAACTTGAAAAATCTTAGATAAATGTCTAAATTTATTGTTTCAATGATAGATATGTTGCTATGCCAAAAACATATTAAATGTTTGGACCAGCAGAAGGGATTCTAGCTTTATAAATGAATGGAATCCATTGTCAGGATACCCAATTTCCTTTAGAACAGTATTCAAGTGTTGAAGAGGCAGTGATACTCAAGTGTACCGGCATTTATTGTTTGGATGATAAATGTGTTGTTTAAATTGAAGTCACTAATTCCTGCCTTCCTGCTATTCCAAAGAACTATTAAATGTTTGGGCCAACAGAAAGGATTCTAGTCTAGCTTATAAATGAAAGGAACCCATTGGAAGGATACCCAAATCCTCTAGATTAGATCAGTTTCATGTCAATCAATGGCAGCCATCTTCAAGAATACCTGGTATATATATACAAGAACAAGAAGCATAGAGCCGCTAGTATATGCTTGAATTCCTGAGCCACCATGTTCAAGTTACTTGCAGTTCTCCCGGTACTCTTCTTGAGTTTTGCAATGGCATGGACGCAGCCAGCCAATGTGACTGGCATGAGCTTCCAGCTTGTTGCCCTTAGTCGGGTACCTGATGGGGACGCTGGCAATGGCTCTTCCTACACCGTCAAGGACCTGCGCCCGTTGGCCTTGGCGCCGTCTGACTATGTGCATGGCGTGTTCG